GAGTTCATTTATTCAACCAAAACCTAATGAGTACTTCTGTGCCTTGGACATATGTTCTAAAATCTGGCATAAGAGAACAAAACATAAAAATTCCTCCTTTTGTAGATTTTATATTTTAGTTGAGGAAGACAAAAATACCTTAAACAAATGTGTAAAACATATAGTACAGTGATAAATGCCATAACAAAAGGAGAAGATAAAACAAAGTAGAGGAGATTGGGAAGGTGCAGACAATTCCAAAGCTATAATTTTCAATAGGGAGGTTGGGGCAGGCTTAATTGAAAAGGTAACGTTTTGCAAATACATAAAAAAGATAAAGGAATTGGCTGTGTGGAGGTCTGGGAAAAGCAATCCAGTAGAAGTAGTAGCCAGTGCAAAAACCCTATGGTAAAAATGGGATAAGTGTATTTAAGAAACAGTTGTCCACAATGGCTAGAACAACGTGAGGGAAGAATATGAAAACATAAGGTCAGAGAAGTAATGGAAGAATGTATGATGTACAGTCATGTAGTTCAATGTAATTATATTAGCTTCTACCATGAATCAAATGAGTCACAAATGGGTTTTGAGCAAAGAACTAATGTAATAACAAAAACCCAAGCAAAAGATGATTGGTGTAGTAACAGCATAAACAGTAGGAAACTGTCAAAATTTAGATTTTTTTTATCTTTTGTTTTTAAATTCCCAGAGTCCAAGTAAATTCACTAGAAAAAAAGACAGAAACAGAGAATGAGGGGGAAAGCACACCCCAGTGGGGTATGGTCACACTACAACCCCATCTTCTCCATTTCCCCATCCTCTCAAGATTTGGAGCACTTATGCATAAGTGACTGGCAAGATTTTCAAGTCTCTATGGTCAGGATTCCAACCACAGTAGGCTCCGTGGGATCCAGTTCCCTTAACTACTAGGTTATGGGTTGACCCCAAATTTAGGCTTATTTTATATAAACAGCCCACAGAATTTGCTAATAGCTGATAGTATATAAGAGAAATAAATCAAGAACAGCTGTAAAGATTTATCTTTGAGCAACTGGCTGTATAGGGTTGTCACCACCAAAATGAGAAGATGTAGAGTTGAAATAAGTTGTTTGAGATAGCTGAGTTTGAGTTATCTTTGAATACATAGTGTAGATGTAGAGGTAGACAATTATTTTTTTAAAGAATTATTTTATTGAACTTTTTATTTTATTTTATTTGACCAGAGAGGGACAGAGAGAGAAAGTGAGAGAAAGTGAGAAATCAAGCCCCCAGGTCCGGGACGCGAACCACAGTCAACCATGTAGGAGTCCAGTGCCCTTAACTACCACACTACCTGCCAGTCCCAGAGGTACGCAATTAGATATGCCTGGAGTTTAAAAAGAGAAGGGAGTGAAAATTTGAATATAGAAGTTTTGGGTATACAGATGGCATTTAAGGTCAGAAGACTTGATGATATCATCAGTGGGTAATAGAAAAGAAAAAAAAAAAGAAAAAAAAACCAAAGATTTAGTCCTGACACGCTTCAATGATAAAACATTAGGAAGAATAGAAGCATCCAGCAGAAAAAACTAAGGAGCAACCAAAGGTAGAAGCGAAACCAAGCATATGGTGTCCTGGAAATCAAGCAAAGGAAATGTACACGGAGAAGGGAATGATCCATTGTATCCAACATAGTTGATAGGTCAAATATGAGAAATGAAAATTGCCAACAACCAGAGAGTACTGGTGACACTAACGAGAGCATGTTGGTCATGGTGGGAACAATAACCATGTTAGAGTAAGCTCAAGAAAGAATTTAAAAAGTGGAATTTAAACATGGATCATAGAGAACACCTCTATGTGTTGAATACATGGGGTTGAAAATGGAGAAAGGGTAGAAGTGTTTCTTAAGATGAAAGAAGTAATGAGCAGATCAAATGAAACTTTTATGACTCTTTTAAAAAGTTATTTTATTTAACTTTATTTGTTTGTTATTTATTTTAATATGACCAGAGAGGGACAGAGCAAGAGAGAGAGAGAGAGAGAGAGAGACAGAGCAAGCAAAAGTGAGAAAGTCACCAGGTCCAGGACTCAAACTGCAGTCAGCCAAGTAGAAGTCCAGCACTCTTAACCATCATGCCACCTGCCAGCCCCAAAACTTTGATGACTCTTAAATCCAAGAGCCATGGAAGAAGAGAACATTATAAGAGAGAAATAAAAGGACAGAAACAAACACTGGAACACAAAGAATCCAAAGTCAGCTCATGAAAGTTATTTGAGGATCAGAGAAAACAACCAATTCAGCAAAACACATTTAATGTAATTATCACTGAATGGAAAAAAAGTAAGTAATGTAAAAGTAAACATCAATGCTATCATTAATATTGACACAAAGTAAAAAGAGGAAATGGGAAGAAAGCTGTCCAGTGCTATAAAAACACCACCAATTTAATTTAAAAATCTTTTATTGAGTGCGAATATATGCAAGTCAATCATTTCTCTGTTATTATCCCTTCCCTCAGGGAGTTTTTAATTTAGTGAAGAATGTCAGGCACACAATAAAAACCAGTACTTACTGTATGCCAAACCCTTGGCTAGATAATTTACTTACATTGACTCATTTAATCCCCACAGCACTGAGGTAATCTATGTACTATCTCCAGAAAAGAAACTATCAAAATGCATTATTTTTACACACAATTCTTGGGAACTCATGAAACTAAAGCTAAAAATATTCTAGATGCAGAAGAAGTCCTTTTATTTTTTTAACTGCCACAAGGTACCAGCCTTTTCTATCATGCCCAAGAGGAACAGAGCACCCACTTTACGGGTCACACTCACTATCAATCCTTTCTTCTCCATTTCTCCATCCTGTTGAGACCTTGAGCATGCGAACATGTCTTGCAAACTGCAAGGGCCAGGATTCAAAACACTATCAGCCATGTGGGATATGGCTCCCTTAATCAGTAGGCCACGGAGCTAGTAGATCATTTTTGAATAAAGGAATGACAGATTTTTACTAAGAAAATTATCCAAGATAGTTTCAAAACAAAATCCACAGCAGAGCTGCTAGAAAAAAGACTTTGAAAATAATGACATAAAGTAATACTTAAACTAGTTAATTAATAATGAAAAACAAAAGCAGGGGTTTATGTGTTTAATGACCATGCACATTAACTACCTCTTCAAATTAATTTTACAGCTTTACATGAATACAATAAACATATGTTGTGGCTCATCTATTGGCACTTCTATTCCCTTTTGGATAACATAAAATAACCAGCAAACATCGTTCTCTACTACGGAGTCCTCGGAAAAATCATGAAGTATTTTTCTGTTCTTCTATGCAAAAATGTGTCAGACAAGTCATGAAGTATTTTTCGGTTCTTCTATGCAAAAATGTATCATGACTTTTCTAACCACCCAATATTTTGAAGGTCAGGTACAGAAGAACCCAGAGTCTAAAACTAATTATGACACATAAATATAGCAAATCTACTGTGACCTCCAACAACTTCAGCTCTCTGATATTCTTCACAGGTTGTCTGATGAACAGCTCCACCCAAGTGAAGTGTCACAAAGATTGAGAAAACCCACACATGAAAGCAAAGGCAGTTCTAACATTTACAAACTCACAACTCTAGTAAGCCAAGCATGGTGAGATTCACAACATAATTTCCATAACTAAATCAAGTTTGTTTAAATTGAATATCAAGACTTACAAAACACAATGTAGAGAAATTATGAGAGAAAACATTAAATAATTTTTGATAGATAGACACTATATATTGTTTCTTATTCCTTTCTTCCCATCCCCATTAAATTTAAAGGAAGAGGCCATCTTTGTTCCTATGCTGCAATATCATGGCCTCAATAAAGCAGGCACTCAGTAAATAGTCACTAATTTGTGTATTTGACCAACTCTGAACAATTCAGTAGAATGGATTCAAAAAACAAATTAGTTATGATTTAAAATAAAAACAATGTGTGCAGCAGTGAACTTTTTAAATACAAATAGCAGAAACCCAAATCTTCTAATCCTTATGTTATCCTAAATAGAAAAGGGTCTCAAATTCTAACCAATACATCTCATAAATCAACACCTTGCATGAATTTCCTTCCCTCTCTCTTTCTATCCATATTTTGAGTCAATAAAATAATAATTAAAAAAAAACTGGTAACATTCTTAAAAGGACCATCTGTTGACTGAGAAAAAAATAATCATACACACATTTTGAAGCTAAAAGGTGGCCATAATTTTCCTACACACCTAAAAGAGCAAAGAGTGAAGAACTATGACTTCTGAATAAATAAAATAACTATGAATATTTAAACATGCCAAAATTCTTGTTTGTAAAATACATAAAGGTAAAAACGGGGTGAAATAGAGCCCCACATAATGAGATTACTAAAATCAGAAGTAGCTCAATACTACTACTACTACTAACTAAAATAAAAATTGGTATGTCGTTTGTCCTGCTGTTTTGATTATCACTTTTCTAGAGCTCCTAATCTTAAATGCTGCACTCAGAAAAAGGCAGTTCCCTTCCATTGCATATAAAGTTCTTCCTTAACCCCAAAGGGCTTAATATGTCAAGCCCGTATAAAGCCTATTGACAGTTTACAAAAAGCTGGTCATTGAAAGGAAAGAAGGCAGAGGTTGGGGAAATAAATAAGCCTACTCAACAGAAACCTCTAGATTCAATTATTCCTCTAATAACACAATCAATACATAGCATTTCAAAAGTGCTTTGCATTCACAAGAGCACCTCAGATGCAAAAACGGAAACTGTACAGAGAGTTCAACAGGTGCACGCCCTGCGCATGACGCCAGGGAACCCTACATCCCCAAGAGCCCGCTCTGGTAAGGCCTAGGAGCTCACACAGAGACGGATCCGCGTAAGCTGTGTTCTATAGGTAAATGAGAGAAGGAAGTCAAACACGCACACACCAAAAAGAATGAAAGAAACAAAAAGAAGAAACCAACAGACAGGAGAATAGTATCCCGTATTTAAAGAATCACCCCCACTTCCGGATCCTACCTTTCGATAACTCCACTTCCGGTTTCTCCGAAAGACGCGCTCCTACAGATGAAGGTCTCACAGCCAATGAGCGTGTCAGTAACTTCCACACGCCCGCCTATTGTAGTCTAAGTCCCGCCTTTTCCGACAGAAAGGAGCCTATCCGAGCGTCTAGCCGTGCGGCCCCGGCGGAGGTGTCGTGACAGGCCCAACCGGACGGCTGGAAAACGCGAGACGGGCAGGAGGGTCGTGCCCGCCTCTTCCGCCTTGGGCCCGGAAGGGTGATGTGGCTGGGGGGCCC